GAACGAGGCCCTGGGTTCAATCCCTAGTACCTCCATTAACCAAAACTCAAAAACAAAAACCCTAATTACTTCCCTCTCCCCCACAAAATTATGTTAACACATAATGGGCTTATTACTATTTTAAAGTGAACAATAAATGATATTTTAAATGTTCTCAGTTTGAATTTTGAATATAGTAAACACTGAGTGATAAAATCTACACGGCAAAAGCTCTTTGGGGGTCTACCATAATTTCTAAGAGTGTGAAGGTGTCCTGAGACCAAAAAGCTTGAGAATCACTGGCCTAAAGGACAAGACCTAGACTGGTGAACAGACACTGGGGACTTTCCACTATTCTACTCCATCCTGCCTTTGCAACCTCACTTATCACCACTGTCTCTGAAGTACCCCCAGGTCCCAGCCCAACCACTTACTGATTCCTGCACATGTTCTGGACCTGTCTGCCTGACTCTGTGCATGACGTTCCTCTACCTGGAACAGTGTCCCTACCCCCTTTCTCCACCTGTCTGGCGGTTAGTGGGTCACGGCTACCTTCTTAGGGCCTGACAATGGACAGCCTCATTCAGACCCAATTGCACAGTTTGTTTATGGCTATATTCTGCATATAGCCTTCAGGATCTGTTTGTCTTTTTAAATTAGAATTCCTGGAGTGTAAAAGACCCAATTTTCCCTCTGTTTATATTTTTTACCATCTAAGGGCCAAGTGTCCTGCCATAAACTTTATGGAATTTTTGTAAATATTAGCTGACAATTTCTAGCCATATCTGTGGCGTTTTATGATCCTGGGCAGATTAATCAGAGTATTTAGTGCCTGCTGTGAGCAGAACACTTGGCAGTGGGGGGAGGGGGCTAAGGAGGTGATCCTTGCTTAAGGACCTGCACTGTGCTTGGAGAGACAGGATTTATAGCCAAGAAGTAATCAAACAAGGCACAAGAAGGTATATAACCGAAGTAATAACCAGGTGCTGTAGGCCTTTAGTGAAGGGGAGGTGGGGGCCATTATTCTTGGATGTTAGCAGTGGCTGGAGAAATCTGAGCAGGCTCCTGGGAGGAGGCAGGGACTTGCTGGGGACTCTTTAAATGGGGAGGGTTTAGTTAGAGGTCAGCAAGGCAGGATTTCGGGTCAGCGAATAAATACCAGCCGGGGCAGAGTCAGAAATGAGCACAGCATGTTCACGGCCTAATGAGGAGACTGCTGACCAAGGTGAAGGTGAATGGTGCGAAATGATAAGGTTGAAAGCTGGTCAGAGGAGTTTGGATTGGGGAAACCAACCAGCTTTTTTTGCTTGTTTTTTTGTTTTTTGTTAGGGAAGTGACATGGTATATTTTGAGCACAAGATGGGTTATTTGTGGGAGGAGGGATGGAGATGGGGCATGTTAATGGTCCAGGGGTGTGAGGTGTTGAAGCTCTAGACTAGGGTAGCAGCAAGGTTTTTTGAATGAAATTAATGCAGGTCACCATGTCTAGAATGCCAGCGTGGTGCCTTTAAATGGTGGTGTTTTATATATAAAAGCCTGGGGATTAAAACTCCACAGTAGCATTTTAGTGACACAATTTGGTCTTATCACATGTGGCTGATTTAGAGCTGAAATCTTATATTCTAGCCTTTCCTCATGTCCTCATGTCTTATTGCTTCAGCTACTAAATAATTGTGTGTGGTTTTGGGCAACTTACTTTAACTCCTTGGTGTCTTGGTTTTGTCTCTTGTCAAATGAGGGGATCAAGAGTACCTGTCTCATAGACTCATTATAAGAATTACGTGAGGTAATACATGTAAAGTGCCTATATTTGTGCCTGGCACACAGGAAGCCTTTACAAATATTAACTATTGTTATTTATTTATTCAGTAATTCGTATTATGGGTATATAAATAGTTAAATTACCCAATGGGCCAAAGCATTCAGAGCTGTGCTGAATTAAGTTCCTCAAGCTAAAAAAAAAACCTTGCTGGAGACTTTGCAAAGATGGGATTCAGAAGCTGGGATGGAAAATTGTTAAAAATTCAAATTCCATCAACTCATTAAGATCTAAAAGGTAAAACCAGGAGACCTGAATCACAATTTAATCATGTCCTTCCTCAGCTTAAACACCTTCACTGGCTCCCATTGCAGAGATAAATCTGGTCTTCCCAGCAAGCCAGCAAGCCTTCCTGCACTGCCCTTTTGTTGGCCATGGCAGCCTGCCTCCCCTAGCCACCCCACCCCTGACCTGGGCCCGGTGGTCGGTACCTTAGCTGCTCTGCGCTCCTGCTAATTTTCAAACACATCCTGTCCTGCACAGCAGTCTCCCTTGCCTTCACTCTTTCCCCCAAGCTCATTCCTGATACCCCATTTATGCCCTATAAAATTAATCACCTGTTTTTTTTAAAATAGACTTTATCTTTCAGAGCAGTTTTAGATTTACAGAAAAATGGCATAGACAATAGAATTCCCATATACTCCCACCACTAACAGTTTCTCCTTTTGTTCACCTCTTGCATTAGTGTGGTCCATTTGCTACAACTGATGAACCAATATTGATACATTATTCTTAACTAGGGACCATAATTTACATTAGGGTTCACTCTGTGTTGTACATGCTATGTGGGTTTTGACAAATGCATAAAAATAATGTCCTACATCCACCATTACAGTATCATACAGAATAGCTTCACTGTCCTAAAATTGCCCTGTCCTCTGTCTATCCCTCCCTCTTTCCCTCTCCATCAGTTTTTAAGAATCAGTTAAAATGCCATCTCTTCTGTGAAAATGTCTCAGATTCCCTCAATTATGAATCTCTTTGATGCTTGCATAGCACTTTCTTCATAGCTGTTATAGCTCCTATCTTCCAAATAGTATTAGAGATACACACACTCTTTTCCTCCTTTACTGGATGGTATGTCCTTGAGGGAAGGGCTGTGCCACACATTTGTCCCCACAAAACCTAGCCTAGACCCTGCTCTTAACAGGGTGCCTTATAAATGCTGGCTGAATTGAATTGCGAGCAAATATTAGGGTAGGATTTTGCAGAATAGGTCTCAAGAGGCAAAGCTTTAGACCTAGAATTCGGAAAGTGACAAGTGTACTTGTGAATTTTAAACATGCTTCAGGCTCATGGTCCATGGATCCGAAACTCTTTCAAGGGAACCAGCTTCTATCCCTTCAGATCTGGGCTCAGAAGCAGCCTCCGTTGAGGTGGCCCAGGACAGCTTTCGATTACCAACTAGGCCTCAGGGCTGTCTCTCTCTGCCTCTCCTCCTCTCCAAAAACAAAGCAAAAAAGGAAAGAAAGAAAAGGAAAGGAAAGAAAGAAAG